TGGCGGTCTCTCCTCAACCACCACCAGTGTGCAGCATCCACTTGGATGATGCGACGACAGCCACAGGACAACGGCGCCAGTGAGCTCACCACACACCAGCTACAGGTGTAGTACAAGCTAGTAATGGTCTTTTGGTCATTGACTTGCAGAAAATATTCTGTGCGAGTTAGTGTTAGAGGCTACTAGAATGCAGGGGGGCGCCGACACTGATCTTGCATACCCCTCGGCAAATGTGCAGTTATGCCCCTGCAGTAACTGTAAATATCATATGGAGCAAAGTTGTTCTTCTCTTGTTTACGGCTCATTTTGGTGTAGTAACTCATCTGGTTATTCACAGAGACTGAAATCAAATCACATTCACTTCAATCATCTTGATCAACACACATCAACACATCACATCATTCAGATCCAAGAGAAACTCAGACACCCAACATATAACAGATCCAGAAACAGATTGCTGCTCATCATTTACTAAATAAATAAATGCTGGAATCCATAATATTAAATATAACAAATCATAATTGTGTATAGTGATCCTACACCTGTACTGAAAATTACTTTTGAATGTGTTTCCTCACCTTGATGTGCTGAACTGTTTTTCTCAAAATTTCCTTATTTTCATTGTGTTGAAGTTTCTCCTGTAAAGATTTCAGTGCTGTATTGAGCTCCTTCCTAGAATAAAAAAAAAAGTAAAACACCAGATTACAGTGAAGAGAAAACAGTGATCATACAGTACTGTGAAAAAGTATTTTCCCCATCCTGATTTCTTGTTATATTTATGTGTGTATATCTCATACTAAATTGATTCAGAAGTCAAAACCAAACATAAAACAAAAGCAACCTGAGTAAATACAAATTACACTTAAACAGATTTTTTTCAACAGCATGAAGTTGGTTAAATGTTTTAACACACTATGCCAAAGGTAAAAAAAAAAAAAACTATTTAATTTGAGATGGTTAAATACTTTTTCACAGCAGATTATGTCATATGAATTTGAGTAAAATGGCAGAGAGAAATATTAAGTGCATGTATGTGATGATATCTGTGTTTACAATGACTTATTGTTCTTTACATATGAAACAAGAGACATTTGTCTTACCTTATATGATGAAACCACTTCACTTATTGGTCTGAATTTGTGATTGTCGTGTTGTTCTGAATCTCTGCACACTAAACACGCAGGCTGTTTGTCCTCCAGACAGAAGAGTTTGAGTTTCTCACTGTGTAAACTGCAGATCTCCTCAGATCCTGATGAACGGCTCTCATTTCTCTCCTTCAGGAACGACTCACACAAGTTTTGTAATGCCAGATTTACTGGAGAAACGTTTTTGAGGATCTTCTCCTGCAGACAGGACAGTCTTGAGTTCCCTTTCATGGGAACTTCGAACTGCGTCCTCTAGGGGTCGCTATGGGGAACGCCTCGTCGTGATGGTGCAACAGCTAGCAGTTATTCAACTGAGGGAGCAACACACCCAGTTCTCAGTTCGAGAAGGGGGCTCGACCTGCAGCATGTTCCAAAGCTGGAACAGCTAGCAATAATTTTTCGAAATTTTTCTCTTCTTTGTCTACTGATGGCAGATTCTTTTTTACTTTTTCTCTAAGAGAAGAAAATCAGCATGACAAAGGAGAAATAAGAAGTCAGTCTTTTCCTGGTAAATGTTGTAAGAGGGTGGAGTTTCAGATCACCTTGGGGTGTTTAAACAGCTCTAAGGACAACATCAGGATTTCTTCATATTACATTTGAATAACATACTTTCAAAATTAACTTGCATTGAAACTTTCTCAAGTATAATGCTAGAAAACTTTAAATCACACACAAGAGAACAATGAAAAACACATTGATGTTAAAAAACAAACAAAAAACAAGACACTTCATTTGGGTTTAATTTATTGTTCTTTATTTGTCAGACTTTCTAAAGCAGAGGTGGGTAGAGTCTCAGTCTCAGACGTCACACCCACGGACCAATGGCTGAAAGTCCGATGCATATAGCACACAAAATTGGAAACACTTTAGGAGTTTTGAAGTCGGCATCGGATTGGAGGAATTATTCAGGATTTCCGGGAGACGTGTGTGTTGCGTTCTTTAACGTTTTGCCTGGAAACAAAGATGCCGTGACAAGCAGCGCTTGTTTACCATTTTGAATATCAGTTATGTTGATAACTTTCTTCATTTTAAGTGGCTTGGCCAACGTTGTCCAACGGCCGACTGTCGGCTTGGCGTGTCCTGGGCTTTACCTGTCAGTTATATGGCCTCTTGGGTGGTCCTTGGCCATTCAAAGTGGTTCCCAGACCTTCTGCTGTCAGTCTTAAGGTCTGGCTACGCAAGACTATGGGTAGAGCAACCAAAAACTCAAGTAAAAGTACTTTTAGAAACGAGTGTTCATCTCATATTCTGTGATAGTAGCACATTTTTAATATATAAATTAGTATATATCTCTTAAAACATGACAATTCCATGGTTTGTAGTAGCCTATATGCACTTTTAGTGTTTAATAATCTTTTTGGTTTGAACTATTCGTGAACCAATTCATACCAGTACGCAAATTGTTTGATCAACTCTTTGAAATGAATCGACTCTTCTTGTGAAGACAAAGAGAGTCATATAAGTTTGAAAGAACATGAGTAAGTGATGACAGATCTTTAAAGTCCCCATGAAATCAAAATTGAAGTTTTTCAAAAAATTTTTTTTTATATATGTCAGCCTTAAAGTTAGCTATAAGCTAGTTTGCATTTAGAAGATATAAGCATTCAAACTTACGCCAATATGGATCAAGGATTTTGATGACATCACCCTACACTGCAGCTTCTCATCAAACTTTGCCCAATCAAATGCTCTCTAGAATCCAAAACTTAGATGCTGAAAAGGCAGCTGAAATTGGTCACTTGTTCACAGAGTTAGTATTTTCTGTATGGTCAATGGCACGTAGTGCACTATATAGGAGATAGGGAACGATTCAGGTAGTGTAAATATGCTTTCTATTGGGGCAAAAGAAATCTGGTTTTGCGTTGTGTCCATTGAACCACCCATAAAATGTTTGGCCTGAGTTTTCTTTGCCTTTACTCAGACCAGCAGGCATCACCAGCGTGTGGTGTTTTAAGCGCTTCAAAACAGTGAATTATTTTACGAAGCAGTTGGTTCAATTGATTCAAAGCTTAGAAAAGGTTTGTTTCTCTCATCAATTTGTAAACTATCCCTCACAGCCTTGTTAAATTCAATATAGCGTCTAAGCAGTATTATGGGTCAACATTTATTTATTAAATTATTTTAAAATGATTTATTTAGTTATTAGTTAGTGAAATATCACCACTGAACTAGCTCAAAGCTGATGGTATAGAAGGTTTTAGCCTACTTCATTGCCAAATATCTATTACTATATAGAGAAAATTAACGAGATGCTGTCGTCTTGAAAATTAGTCTTGGCAGTTATTGATTTGAAATTATGTATTAAAGGGTTAGTTCACCCAAAAATGAAAATTCGGTTATTAATTACTCACCCTCATGTCGTTTCAAACCCGTAAGACCTTCGTTCATCTTCGGAACACAAATTAAGATATTTTTGATGGAACGCCGGATCTGTTTCCTACGTTGTTGTGATTTGATCTGAACGGAAACAGTGTATCCGTGTGACGCAGCTGACACAGAACAGCATACGCTGTTTACATCCAGCTGATATTCTCCAAAATGGCACCAGGGCGATGCGGAGGAGACGAATTGTTGAATAAAGTCGTTTTTTTTTTTCCTTCTTTTGCACACAAAAAGGATTCTCGTAGCTTCGTATAATTGCGGATGAACCCCTGATGTCACATGGATTATTTTACAGATCTCCTTGCTACGTTTCTGGACTTGGGAACATTTCAGTTGCGTTGCTGTCTATGCAGGGTCAGACACTCTCAGATTCCATCAGAAATATCTTAATTTGTGTTCCGAAGATGAACGAAGGTCTTACGGGTTTGAAACAACATGAGGGTGAGTAATTAATGACAGAATTTTCATTTTTGGGTGAACTATCCCTTTAATAAAGAATTCTATGAACAGAAGTATAAAATTGGGAAATCTGTTAAAATATTTTAATGTAAAGCAAAATGTACAGCCATTATAATGTTACAATGTTTATATAATCATACAAATATCGACTGATATCTACCTACAATCAGAAAACAGAATATCAATAACACTTACATGAATGTAATTCTCCTTATTTTCATGCAGGTTTGTACCTGCTTATTATGAAAGCTGAGCAACAGCTAAATCAGCTAAGTCTTTTGTTGTTGTTGAGATGGTTAAAAAAGTCACAAACCAGACGAAGTCCTTTGTGTCGCCACTAAAAGATGTCGGATTTATCATCCGAACAGGGTCCTGAGATCAGAAGCACGTGATCCAGACCGATCTCTCCGCTTACTGACCTCCCACGCTCGGCCTCAAAGATGATCTGAAGAAACAGTCAAACCATTAATAAATATACTGTAATAAGCTGGAGAACATAAAACATATCAATACAAGATCTGGGTCAAACAATTAGACACATTTCAAAACCCAATCAATAACTTGTTTGTAAATTGTTCAAAAAAAAGTCAGCATATGCTAATATTTTCTTAATATTTTTATCATGTTTTCTACACTCTTAAAAAAAAATCTGTAACAATATGGCATAATGTACAGTATTGATATAACTGATATTTTTATTTTAATTTTGAAATTTTGATTTTTGAACTGCATTATGTTTTGTTAATGGAAATTTCTGTTAAATTAATGAATAACGTCCTTGCAGAATTTTTTGTTCTTTCTTTAGAGTGTAGTTGTAATATGATTATATATAATACATATTTAAACTTAAATATTAATGTGATTAAAATAACAGTATAATTAAAAATAAACATCTTAAAACATACTGTTTGTGTGTGTGTTTGTGCGTTAAATATGTTACTTATTATTACTTTATATACACACATATATAGAGACCAGATCTAGTTCAAATAATAAGTAATTTTTTACCATCCAATCATTTCAATTTTTTCCTATATATCTTAATATTTTTGTCATGTTTTCTAGTACAAGAAAAGTGAGATGCAAAATGACTTAAAATGATCAAAATTAAGTGAATTTATGCTTAAAACAAGAAAAAAATCTGTCAGCTATAAAAATTAGACTAGTTATTGCATTTTTTTCCCTTATTTGTTCATTTTAAGCATAAACTGGCATAATTTTGATTGATTATTCAGAAAACAATACTTAAAGTAAATAATTTTGAATCTAAATGTATCCTGATTTAAGAATGTTTAGATATTTTTACTGGAAAACAAGACATAAATACTGAGGGAGAAAATAATTTTTTGCAGTGTGTGGCATATCACACCCTTCAATTTGAAGAACTTTTAGAAAACTCAGGCTGAATAACTGTAACTCACGGCCTCCGCAGTGTTTTCTGTCCAGGTGGTGGTGATCTGCTCTGACTGCCAGCTGCGGTTGAGAGGGTTTCTTCTCTCCCAGACGGCGACAGCGCTGTTGTCCAGCATCACTCGTAAGATGCCCATGTTCTGACCCTGAATGCGATAATCAAATTTCAGACAGAAGCTGCTCTGACGCATGTAATCATCCAGCAGCAGCTTCATCCTCGCCTGCTCCTTCCTGTTCCCCACAGGACCGTCGAGAGCCAAGTAATATTCCCTTCCTATGTTTAGATATTTTTACTGGAAAACAAGACATAAATACTGAGGAAGAAAATAATTTTTTTGCAGTGTGGCATATCACACCCTTCAATTTGAAGAACTTTTAGAAAACTCAGGCTGAATAACTGTAACTCACGGCCTCCGCAGTGTTTTCTGTCCAGGTGGTGGTGATCTGCTCTGACTGCCAGCTGCGGTTGAGAGGGTTTCTTCTCTCCCAGACGGCGACAGCGCTGTTGTCCAGCATCACTCGTAAGATGCCCATGTTCTGACCCTGAATGCGATAATCAAATTTCAGACAGAAGCTGCTCTGACGCATGTAATCATCCAGCAGCAGCTTCATCCTCGCCTGCTCCTTCCTGTTCCCCACAGGACCGTCGAGAGCCAAGTAATATTCCCTTCCTGAAGAACCAAAGAGAAAGAGCCACGATCAAGATTAATGAATTTATTGGGATTTTTTAAAAGAATGTTTTTACATCGTAACACAGTATAAATATTGCAAGGGGGGGGTGTAACTATAACAAACCAGAGGAGGAAATGTTATGCAATACTGTTAAAAATTTGTGTAAATATTTATTCAAAATGTTCTCTCTCTATATATATACTGTATATGTGTGTGTGTGTGTGTGTGTGTGTGTGTGTGTGTGTGACCCTGGCCCACAAAACCAGTCATAAGGGTCAATTTTTTGAATTTCAATAATCATAAATTAAGTTTTGATATATTTACGGTAGGAAATTTACAAAATATCTTCATGGAACATGATCTTTACTTAATATCCTAATGATTTTTGGCATAAAAGAAGAATATATAATTTTGACCCATACAATTAATTTTTGGCTATTGCTACAAATATACCTGTGCTTCTTAAGACTGCTTTTGTGCTCCAGGGTCACACACACACTAGTGGTGCAACGGATCACAAAATTCACGGTTCGGATCATATACGGATTTTGAGTCACGGATCGGATCATTTTTCGGATCAGCAAAAAAACAACAACAAAAACATAAAACACAAACAATTACACAAATTACAAGCATAGATGAAAACAACAAATCACACATTACAAATATCAGCATTTAGGTGCAGAAATGTAATAATTAAGTTTAACACAATAGTGCTCACTGCACAAGTTAAATACAGATTCATCTTTGTTAGAGCTGTGGTGTTGTTTGATTAGCAGACAGAAACAGGTATTTATTGGCTGCTGTCTCTTTAAGACCAAATGCACGGACACGGATTCGGTTTCTTTCTCAGCTGTTTACGTTCACTTAAGACATAACCGACTGTGCTTACTAGAATACTTGCCAAGGCGGGTATTTTAACATAACTTTGTGTGTATGTGAAACAGGGATCACGCTGTGTCTGAATCGCGCCTCTCTCTCTCTGCGTGTGCACGTGGCAGCAGCTGAGCACACAGAAAAAAGCGCGCGAGTTAAAACTGCTTGAATGTGTAAACTGGCAAGACAAAACATGTGCAAATGATAAACTTTCACTCTATGATGGTTAAACTTAACAGTTAATCTGCGAATCACATGCGTGCCAAACCCTGGGGCCTGGTCCGTACGGATCACGGATCATCTACGTTCCGTTGCACCCCTAACACACACACACACACACACACACACACACACACACA